AGCATCGGGTCTGGTTCACCTGTGGCCAAGAAGATTTTGTGCCCTCTCAGAGTATGGTGCTGTCCCTCAACACATGCTGAGTGCTGTAGCAGCACAGAAGGATGTTTGCACATGTGAGACTCATTTTGTGGCCACCCTGCCCAAAGCAATCTATCTCATGAGCTCCTGGCCCTGGAGGGAGATTCCCTTGTGACAGCACCGAGCTCATTTCTGCTCCACCTTGTGTTTCTAGGATGCTCCACTTGGTTCCACAGCCAGGGCTCGCTGGTATGGAGCAGGGCACGGAGCAGAGCTGAGCCCTCCCCGCTGGCAGGATGCAGCCCACCAACAAGCCAGTTTGGTTTGGAGTGGCCAAAAATATGAGATCCCCCACTGAGTCCCTGAGCATCCCCATTTCTGGCTATAAATCCTTTCCAAGGAGGAGTCTTTACCGAGGGGGGCTGAGATGATCCACAAGCTGCAGCCACCCCCCGCCCCCTCCCCGAGAGGAATTGCTCTCACACAAATGAAATGTGTGTAATTAATGGGCAGGGGGCTGGACAGGTCTGAGATGAAAGCGTTTCCTGGACTTGTCCTTCATTTGCATGGTATCAGAAGCTGTTCAGAAGGTGTGACTTTTCCCACAGGGAGCCCTCAGTTCGGTGGCACAATAAAGCCAGAACTTCTTACCCAGAATTAATTAAAGGAGGGGGAGGGGGATGGCAGGGAAATGTTTGAAAGCTGAGCCTGATGCAATAAACAAACAGCCCAGTCGTCCTTCCCAAGCTAGAGCCTGCCTAAGGGAGCCTGGGCAAGCGCCAAACCTGCCACAGCATCCTACAGCCCACACAGCTCAGTGGGCAACCATATCCAAGCAGACCTCATGGAAAAGTTGTAAACTGAGAGAAGGGGTGGGAGCAGAGACAGCATGTGCCAAAAGGTTTGGGGTTTGGCTGAAAAAGCAGGGGTGCAGCCCCTGCTCAGACAGCACATGCCCCTTTTCTTGCCACTTCAATTTATTGCTGCCTGCTACTCTGTTTCTCATAGAATAGAATCACAGAATGGTTTGGATTGGAAGGGACTTTAAAGGTCTTCTAGTTCCAAATGCCCTGCCATGGACAGGGGTACCTTCCACTAGATCAGATTGCTCAAAGCCCCATCCAGCCTGGGATGGAGCACCCACAGCTTCTCTGGGCAACCACAGCAGCATTTAACCTGAAAACAGCTCTTTCAGGAGCCTGGTGCTGCCCTGGCGTGTTCACCCCTCATTTACTTCTTACCCTGTGTTAGCTGGCTGGACCAGGTGGGCTTCCCCACAATCTGGCAAGGCGGAGTCTCCCAAACTGCTCAGCTGCAGCCTTGTCATCAGCTCCAGCCTTGTCACTGTGTCCGGATGGCACCGCGTGGTGAAGCCCTGTCCAGGCAGGGACACCACTGCTCGGAGCTCAGGATGGGGCCATCATCCCTGCTTCAACAGCCAGAGCAGCAAGGCTCCTCTCCTGCTTCATCTGCCACTTCCCTCGAGCCAGCTGGTGGCAGTGAGGGGGCTGCAGGGTGACACTGGGAATGGTGGCAATAGGAACGGGCACATGCCCACCACAAGGACTCTGCTAGCTCAGAGCAGGGGTTTCTGCCCAAGACACCCACACTAACAGCATGAGCTAACAAAAGCAAACACCCATCCCCAAAGCCCCCCTCCCCCGCCCTCTCCTGCATCCAGCCCCATCTCAGCACCCCGCGGTCCCCAGGGCCCTTGGATGGCTGTGCTTCTCAAGCTTGGTTCACACACCTGCTGATGAAGGAGGAAAAAGGAGAAGTCCCAGTTGATGATTGATCCTATTCATTCAAATAGCCGCCAGAGTTCCTGTAACTGTGGAGGGACAGCAGATACCACCAGGGGCTGTCCCCACCTCCCTGCATGGGTGGTGGAAGCCACCAGCCCTGGGGACCCTGTACACAGCAGCCTGCAGGGCCCAGGAAGAGCACGAGCTCCTCCAGACTTACCAAGGATGAAGAGGTATCAGTGCAGAGACAGGATACGAGGAACCATTAATTAATTCACTTACTCATTAACTTACTAGAATGGGGGTCTTTAATCTTCCAAGCAATGGTGAAACAACCTTTGTTGACTAGGAGCTAAAGTCGGACAAATTCAAACAATGTACAAAGTCTGAAGCTGTAGTGCTCCATGGCCACCCACAAGCCCTTCAATGAAAAGTGGCTGACTGACCACGGACCAAGTGAGCTGGGGATCCCTTCCCAGGGCCAGGCCTGGGTGCCTTTCACTGTGGCAGGGCAGAAGCAGGATCTGGGGGCTAGTGTGGCACAGAGCTGTGCGGGGACACAGGAGTGTCCATACCCACCTCAAACCCAACCTGCTGGCTGCTCACTGCTCCAGCTCTTGGCTGCATCCCAGGATGGCAGGGAGGGGGGAACAGCTTTACTGGAGGCTGAGCACCCACACCATGCCCTTCCCTACCATAGCTGGAGCATTTGTAACAAGACAGAAGACATAGAGCCAGACCCGTGCCTCTGCTACCCGTACCTGGAGCAGGCACCTGGCACCAATTCACTCATGTTCGCAAAGCCATTAGGAAAAGCAGTTAGACAAATTAAAGGAAGAAAAGCAACCATTAAGGACTATCAAACACCATCTCTGCCTGGGGAAAGACCAGGAGCAATTCACTTTTAATTCCTGTCGTCTGTAAACCACAACAAAGTCTGCCCCCACTGTAATCCTCAGGCTTCTGCAGCCCTTGGGTCCCTCCTGGAAGAGTCAGACAAAAGCCATCCAGGCTGTCCTGTGGCTCAAGCAACATCCCTGGTCTCCCTGCTGCAGCAGCGATTCTCAGGTGCAGGGCAAGGCCAAGTGCTCAGCCCCTTCTTTTCCCTCCTTTAAGTTATTGGCAAATACTGCCGGCTCAGCCCAGGCTGCCGAGGCAGCCGGGGGAGGGCCCAGCGTGAGCACCAAGGGATGTCACAGGCACCCCATGGGCATTGCAACAAACCCAGGGCTGGCACCGGTGATGGGGAGATGCACCTTGCAGGGCTGCCAGACTTGAGCAGTTTAACACATTCCACAGTTTTATTCCTGCGTGCTTCCATACCTTAGAACCACTCCATATCTGAACCCCTGATCAGCCCCTGTAAGCAAGACCCAGCACTGCAGCAGGGTTGAGTATTCTCTGAAGGAGGGGATGCAACAACCCATTTTGCACAGCCCTCAAGCTCTTCTGGGAAAGAGAGGAGCAAATAACAGCTTTCTCTTGGAAAGTTTCATCCCATCCTTGAAAGCAGTGGTCAAGGCTCCATTGCACTATGTCCCCATTCGACCTGCAGTGGGCCTTGCTCCCACGTCTCAAGAAGTTGGCATCTGCACATTAAATCTGGAATTTGCTGCAAGGAAAACCATGATTTCCACAAGACTCATCAGGGTCCAAAGGCTTGGGGCAGTCTCCCACTTTCAACAGCTGTTCCCTGGGGAAGGAAACTGCACCAACCAGCAGCCTCAGCCCCATCCTGCACCTCACTGCCATCCTCTTCCATCCCTCTCCAATGTCTGTCCAGCCCCAGCCCCTCCCTGGAAAGCATCAGGCTCAGTTAGACTAATACAAACTTTTAATGCACATATTAAATAAATATTTCAATCATTTCATATTCAATTTGTACACAACTGAAACAAAACAAAAATCCTCAAGGAAACAGGAAAAACCTCAAACAATCAAAAAAGATTGGATGAAAAGTCACCCCTGGTTCTGGCTCCTATCCAGTGTCTTTGTTTGCCCTCCCCGTGAAGAATGATTAGTTTAACCCTTTGGAGAGAGTCACAGTCCCAGGGCAGCATGTGCAGAGCAGGGCTGGCTGAGGATGTTCACTCAAGAGATTAAATGTTTCCTTTGTTTTTTTTTTTTTCTTCTAAATATAGAATTGGGCTCCTGTCAACACAGAAATTTTGAAAGAAACCCCCTTCTTTCCTAGGGGGGCAAGGGTGGCAGTATTTCTGATCAAAGAAGAACCTGTAGGAGATGGTTGGCAATGGAAGCACCAACTATTATGACAAGATACTGAATATCACAACAAAACAGCCTGAAATGGCTCCGCAATAATTTGTAAACTTTGTTTAATTTTATGGATGAAAACTTGCATCTCATAAAAAAATATAGACAGGAAAAAATATCATTTTTTGGTGAGAAGTTCACATTTTCCACATGGGGAAAAAATAATACCAGTTATCAGCCCGCTCCACAGCAGCTGTACCTTAGTACTTTAAAACAAACCAAATGCCAAAGATGCTCCCATGGGTAAGAGGTACCAAGTCAGTTCAGGACTTTCTCTGGGGAATCCATCACCCCTGTCCCCTCCTGAGAAAAAAAACGTAAGTTGAGAGTTGTGAAGCCAGCAGCATTCTCAGAAAGATGCTACTTCCAGCAACCCCTTGCTCAGCCAAAGAAGTAGGCACATCCAAGGAAAGAAAGCATCCAGTGGTCCTCACCCCAGGTGTCACAGTCATCGCCCACTGGCAGTGTCCCCACATCACCCAGGCTGCAAAAACCACCTAGGAGGCCTCCAACCACCTCCAAAATAAATCCCCTTCTCTTAGCTGGTTCCAGCTTCTCCATCTTCTCCAGCAAGCATAGCATTAGTTCAGTTCATTTAAGTAGCACATCGCTTCCAGATTTGGATTTCTATGGTTTTTTGCTTGTTTGTTTTAAACATGATTTTTTAACTCCTTTCCCCCTAGAGCTACCAAAAAAAAAAAAAAATTACAAAATAAAGCACAACCCCAAACAGACTAGAACATTTCTAAGTGAAGGGCTCTTCTCCCTTCACCAGTCTTTGAATGTTTCATTACTTTTAAAGCTGGAGTACAAAAATAGAGCCTCTCTCATTCCCCCCCCCCCCCCCCAAAAAAGTACCAACAACTAGAGCAGGTAATTTTTTTTATCCTCCCCCCTCCCTTTTTCTTGTTTTCTTTGATACCCATATGGGAAAGTCTCTACATATAGTCCACCAAGCTCAGAGGAGCATCCTCCAGGAGAGATGCAGGCAGAGGAGGCAGGGGCAGGCACATCAAGGGCCCGCTCTGGAGTTTCTAGTCCTTTTACTTCTCCGGTTGAAGGGGTAGTTGAGGAACTCAAAGCGTCTGTGGGGCTCGGTGGTCTGGTGGCCCTTGGGAAGCCTCTTCATGAAGTGCACCTCGCGCTGGTGCTGCCGGGTCTTGGAGCCCTTGCGCGGGCGGCCCTTGCGCGTGAAGGCCATGTACCAGCCCTCGTACTTGGCGTTCTGCAGCGCCGTGTAGTTGTTCTCCAGCACGATCTCCGTGAAGACGCAGTCCTTGCCTTTGCCGTTGCTCTGGGAAGGGGACAGGAGCAGAGATTTAAGCAGCGGGCACTTTCTCAGAGGGCTGCTTCTCGCTGCCCCGCCCTGCGCTGGCTGCTGTGGCAGCAGGGTTGCAGAGCTTGTGGGCAGCCAAAGGCTCACTTCTCCCACAAGTCAGAATTGCCCAAAATGTGCTTTTCCCTAACAAGCTGCAGTGAGAAGACATTGTGACACAAACACTGCTCACTGCTGCTTACGTGCCAGTCCAGCTGGTCCCAGCCTTAACTTCCACCACATCCATAGGGGAACGTCCCAGCCTTAACTTCCCCCACATCCATAAGGGAATTTTGGCCTCCATCTGTACCTGGATGTAACCATAAGCAAACTCTCCATCCCAGTTCACCCACCCATCCTGTCCCCCTGGAGTCTTTAATATAGGAGGGGCATCAAGGAGCATTGAGCGGCAGGACAAGCAACACGAGGTCAGTGGTGACGGTGCCCATGGATGCAGGTGGTTGAGGGAGCATGGGGTAGCCAGGAACTGAGCTCCCCCCATTATGGGCAGTAGCAGGACTAGAGAGGGACCCACATCAGGCAGCCCCCAGGAAGCAGCTGCCGTGGAAAATCCTTGCAGATAATCACTGTTCCTGAGGGATTTTGCATGTCCAGGCCCCCCACCACGGGAAGGGGCATCAAGGCACAGAAGCTGCATGACAAACCAGCAGGTGGTGGGGTCTGGCCTTGGGGCCAGCCCCATGGAGCATCTTAACATTCCTGGCACTTGTACCATGTAATCGTGGAGAATAGACCAGCAATCCGCCTATTTGTTCGGAGAGATAGAAGGAATGTGCCCCACACGGCACCCGCCCACCTCTCTTGCTCCCCCTCAGGCTGCAGGATGGCTTGTCCCCCTGCCCCCAAAAGGCAGAGCTCCTCTCCTGGCAGTCCCCACTCGTGTCCCCAGCAGTTCCCTGCCCATACCCTTGCACCCTACCTTGCCAATCAGCTTCCCCTTCTTGTTCATGCAGATGTAGAAACCTGTGGCTGCCCCCTTGATACGCACGCGGCTCCCAAAGGTGTCTGTCTCCACGATGAGCTTGGCTGAGGAGAGCAGCAGGGGAGAGAGGGAGGGAGGTCAGAGGGGCTGTGGGATAGGGCTGGCACAGGTATGGACACCCCAGCAATGCACCCTGATGCTGGGCACTGCAGACATGTGGTCTCTGGCCCTAAAATCAGCACATGAGGTTAAGATACAGCCTGTCCCCACTCCCCCTTGACTTGCCCCTATGTCCCTGCATGACCTTGGACATGTCCTTTTGCCACCTTGTCCCTTTGCCACCTTAAGCTGTGCTGGACGGGGAGTAGCTCTGTTTTACCCAGCTCCACAGAGCTCAGTGGTTCAGGTATCACAGAGATGTCCCAGATGGAGGCAGGGCAGTGAGCAGGGCACACGCTGGTTGGCAGAGAACAAGGCAGCTGCCCTGCAAACTGAGGCAAGTCTGGGTGTGCCTGTGGCCAAGAACCAGACAGGCACCTTCTGCACGTGCACAGTGTGCTGCCAGCTGTCCCCAGCCCAGGGGACACCGCTCCGTGTCCCTCTGCCAGGCCAGGGCTGCAGGAGGAGCAGTGACTTTGCAGCTGGCAGGGGAGGCGTGAAGGGTACAGCCACCCTTTTAATGCCTTTCACCTTTGCACGAGTCGAGAGGGCGTATTGATTTGGTCTCAGTTTTTTAATGGAGGCATCGATCGACTTCCGAAGGAGCTATGCAAATTGCTGGGTCGATGGGCCGCCTATAAATAGACCTGTCACCTTCCCTCCCTGCCTTCACCCTGGGAACCCAAGCCCCAAAGCCCATCCATTCCCAGGGAGGGGGGAGGATGGGGACAGGACATCCTTCTTCCCGCTCCTGCAGCTGCTGTCCCCAGAGCAAGCCCCGCTGGGAATGGCCCCCCTGGGAACGGTGGCTACCTGTTTGCACCTCAAAAGGTCTGTGCCATGCCAAGCACCAAAGAATTCCCCACGATGCTGAAAAGCCAGCTGTGACTGTCCCATCACCTCTTGCCCAGCATCAGCCCATAGTACTGTAAGTGCTGTCCAGGAGGCAATTAGAGGACAGGTCACAAAGGTTCCAAGCCTACAATCTTATTATGGGGTTAAGCCCGTTGATGCCTTATTTATCCTCTCTGATTCCTGCACAAGGGCTGCTCAGCTTCTCAGGAATGCAGTTCACTGCAGCTTGTACAGCATCTACCCCAGGATGCTCAGCCTCCAGTGAGCCCCAGTGAGGGCAATGATGGGGCTCTGGAGTGGGAGGCTCTGCAGAAGGATGCTTCAAACAGCACAAGGAGGCTGTAAGTGTGCACACAAGTGAAACTGAGCCTAAATCACACTCTAGGCTAGGGGCAAATGGCCTTTCTGTCTCTGCAGTGCCTCAACCCTGCATCCCGCTTATGACAGGTGCTACTGAGGTCAATGGCACCAAGGGTGGGGACAGCAAGCAGGCAGTACTGGCAGCTGCTGAGCTGACCAATGGAAAAGTCATCCCCAAATTTGCTGGGGCCAACTGATTTGGTGCTGTTAGACAGGCCAAGCTTAATGTGCATGCAGGCACCCCTCCTGTCAATATCGCCCTGCAGCATCTCTTGTCCCCAGGCTACCATGCACTCACATCCCCCTACCCCTAGGCAGACAAATTGAACTCAGAGACAAGAAATTTGGGAAGAGCAAACTCCAGGCTGTGCTGATCAATGCCCAGAGCCTGACAAGCACCTAGCATCCCCAAAACCACCCACGGGAGCGATGGCACTCTGCAAACAAAGCACTGAGACAGTGACCCCCTATTTATCTATATTGGGGAAAGGGGTGGAATTGATCTTGGAGGCAGTAAAAGGTTTGAGGAGAATTGATTTTTCTCTCTGAGAGATAGAAAGAGCTGGGAGGGAGGGAGGGAGGGAGGAAGGGAGGCATGAAGAGGGAAAGAGGGAGGGAGTGGGGAGGCCTTGGCCCCAATGAGCACAAAACCCTGCTTTAAAGATGCACATTGCTTCTCTTTCGGACTTTTCTCTTCCCCCCCCCCCCCCCCCCCCCGAAGGGCAGCTGTGATTTACAGCCACCAGACAGGTTTGCTGGCCTGCACGAGCCCAGCCCATGTGTCGCTCCAGACCCTTATCCACAGAGGATGAAGACAACCTGGCCCCAGGGACTTGCACCCCGAGACCCTTGCAGGCAGTGTGTGAACCCTGCAAACTCCAGCCCCAATCCACAGAAAACCCTGGGCACAGACAAAAGCCAGCAAGTGGGCAGAGAGCTGCGCTGGTGTCTCCAGCCACTCGTGGGGTCGAGTCCAAGCTGCAGCTGGCAGTGGTTTTCTTGGTGGCAAGCACAGCCTGGGAGGGACAGGCTGGGCTGCACCAGCCGCCCGCCTTCCCTTAGAATTAAAAAAAGTCAATCAAATATTGACAATTAAGACAAATAACTGAAAACACCGGACTCGATGTTAAGTCGGCTGTAAAAGTGTCAGCATGGGGAAAGGGGTCATCTGCAAAAATAAATCAACCCCTTTTACACGCCCACCCCCAAAAATGAGACTAAAAAAAAAGAGAAAAAAGCAGAAGGAAGGGCTTGGGGAGGGGGGATCTTTGCTACAAAAGTGGATTTCTAAATAACATTTGGGGGGATTCCTTTTTCTTATTCCCCTTCCTCTTTTGGGGAAGGGGGAAGGCTTAACGTTTTCAACTCTATTCTTTCATTTAAGTGACAGATTTATCCCAGTAAAATTATGTTTCATGGTCAAACTTTGAAGGGAAAGTGGCTACGTAAATGCTGAAAAAATGCAGCGAGACACACTTGATCCCCCAACTGGACTGCGAAGAGGAGAAAGTATTCAGGAAATGTTAAAAAAGGTGAAAGTAAGAAGCGTTTTAATAGTTCTTCCAGACATGGGGGCCTCCCTAGAGATTCATACAGAACAATCCTGAACCTCTATTTTAACATTTACAGACTTGCAACTCTTTTAAAACTTTACATCTGAAAAACTGCTTGTTCTCTTTCTGGTTTAGATCAGTCTTCATTTTCCTCCTTAGCTCTTCAAATGCTTAACCTTTTTTTATTACATTTTAATAGAGTTTTTCAAGCCACCACGAGTCCCCTCCTTCTGGCCGTATTTAAACCTGGTTGTTATTTAAATATGCACTAACTGTTTTTTAAAATCCAGGCGTTAGAGGTCTAAAACAAGATGGGATTTTCTTTTTTTTTTGCTTTGGAAATTAGCTACTGCCCTTTCAAGTTAGAGCTGCTCCAGGAAGGGAATAATTCATTTGCAAGATTAATTCTAGATATATGGAACATCACAAGGAACCTGCACTGTGCTTGTACTGATAATGTCCAGCATGAAATTTTCAGCCAAAGCAAAATGAAGAAATAGCCCCCAAAAACCAGACAGGCAAAGAAAAAAAATGGTTTCTACTAATCTACCCAAGGAAGAAAGGGAAAATCCAGCTAATACCAAAGAAAAACAGTTGTGATACCTGTGTGCAACGCACAGGAACACAGGCACTTCCCTGCCCCGGGTGCAGGATCAGGCCTCCCGCAGCCGGCCCCGGGTGCTGCCGGGGCTCACTGGCCCCACTGACCCCTGCGCCGCGTCTGACCATCCCAACACGATCAAAGTGTTTGGGCTTCGAGAGTCCCCAGCGGAGGGACGGGTCCCCTTGGCCCAGAGAGGGTGGAGGTTTTGGGGAGGGGGTGCCAGGGTGATGCAGAGGGGCCGTGGCAGAGCGCAGGCTCTCAAGCTTGCAGAGTCCCTGCCTGCAGCTGACTGCCTCCCTGACCCTTTCCCCGTGATTTGTTTTGAGAAGGAAGGGATGGGACAGGAAAATGCCACTTTAGACAGTCCTAGATCAGGGAAGGCTTCCAAAGCAGTCATTCCCTTTCTCCTCCCTGCCTCTTCGTTTTCAAGTTTACTTTCCATTTCTGTTTCAAAAGAAAGTCTCAGGGATTCCCACCCCTGCAAAGAACCGGGATAAAATGTCTGATGATGCTCAGGATGCCACAGCCCCAAGCCCTCGGAGTCAGGTGCAAACCAGGAATTAAAAGGAAAGAAGCAGAACCTATCCTTCAAGAATTGGTCCCCTCCCTTGGCACAGGGAACCTGCCCTCACCTTGAATCACACAGCTGCTGATTACTGACCCCTATGTTCTCCTTTTACAAGCCCCCACAAGCTGAACGATTTTAACGATTTCTGGCTAACAAACAGGACGGAAATCATCAATCGCCACGCCGGGCTGCGAACACCTCCCCAGCTCCCCCCATCGTGTGTCCTTACCGTGCACATCCCCATCCTCTGCCATCGCATTGATTTTCTTGTTGTCCAAGATCTGCACATGTTTCCCGCTGGTCCGGCTGTACAGCTGGTAGGTACGGACAAGCCGCCGGCTGAGCTGATCTGTCACCAGGCTCTGCTCCCTCACATGCTGTGTAAAATTAGGTGGGGACTGAACAGTTACCTTTAGGAAATTAAAAAATATACAACACACCATTATAATCTCTACTCCTCAGCGGGGCAAGCGGGCTGAGCTGAGATCGCTGGCCTGCAGCTGGGCTTTACGGGAGGCAGGAGCCAGGACCGCAGCAGTGCCTCCTGTGCCATCACAGTCTCTCCAGGAGAAGGAGCATTAAGCTCGGGGACAGAGAGCCCTGTACAGATCTGTGCTCTCTCCAGACATGCCCTAAGCAGAGGTGCTGGTAGCTCAGGAGTAGAACAGGTCTTGGTGACCCCAGAAGCACCTCCAGGACTCGGTGGGTCCTGATTGGGACTGGAGTACCTTGAGATGGGCATCAAGGCTGGAAGCTGGAGGGGATCAAGGTGGGACACCCAGGTTGGCACGATGTTGCCCTCTCAGGGGCTGGTGCTTTCATCCTACAACTCTCTCACCTCTGCAGGAGCGTACAACTGCTCCAGCTGCCCTGGGCACACACCCCAACAGTTTCAACAGCTGCCTGTCCTCTGGGTCTCAGGTTCTTTATTTGCTCCCAAGTACCCCACTTATTAAGTTCTTCAAACACAAAGTTCACAGAGATGGTAGAATTATGAGGTATAAGAATTACAAGAAAACCATACCCCAGGGCAGATATTTAGTGGTATAACCACCCAAGGACACCAACATGCTACCCATGCAAACACAGCTCTCATCCCCAGCCAGCTGTTAGCTGCCAGCACGGGGTCATCCCTAGCCCCAGCACACCGAGCTGCAGCTGAGCCCATCCTCTCCAGACCCAACACTGCTGCTCCTGGGCTTTAAATGATTTTCACGAGCGGCCAAACCTGCTCCCCCCCTCAGCCCCGGCTCGCGAGCTGGCACAGAAGTCTTTTTCCCCCCTCGTCTCAAATCCCTCTTTTAAGTCTGGAAAGTTTCGCTGCTCCCTGACATTTATAAAGATGTATTCTGAGCAAATGTTAGGAGATCGCTCCTTTCAACATCAGAAGGCTGGGGCTACCCCCCACCACCCCCACGTCAAATGGGAAGATTTCCTCCTGTCTTAAACAACAACAGAAAACCACAATAAAAGCAAAAGCCGCTGCTCTCCCAAAGCCAGCTTTATAGAGATATCTCCCCTTGACAATGTCATCTCTCTCCCTCTGCTTCTGCCTGTGCATGTGTGTTTCCTATAGAAGGGTTTTGGATAATGCAGCAGGATTCTCTCCCCAGCTCTGATGAGGGTACCATGTGGAGGAGAGGTCATTAGCCATGCTGCTATTTGGTCTCCATCTCATACTCCAAAATATTACAGCTATGTTTTTATACAACTGCACAATCCCAGTGCTCTGTTCCCTTCACTTTTCAGCTGGAAACTCCATTTTTTCCCCCCCAAGCTTCCAGGAAAATAACAATAATTTTATAAAGTAGCTTAAAGGGCATTTTAAACAAAGCTTCTGCACCTGTAATCTCAGGGGGAAGGGGGGCTTCACCCCGGTTTGGAGGCGCACTGCTCCCAGCGACGCGTGCCTGCTGGTATGCGGGTGTTGCACAAGCTCTGCCCGGGATGTTTAATCTATTCATGTCACTTCTGTCTCTGCCGATACAAACCAGCGATGCTAAAGTCTGACACTTTTAAGCTGAATCAAAACCTGCACTCTTTACTAAGGCTTTTGCAGGGTTTCTTTTCCCTTTTTAAATTCTGCTTTACTTTTTTGGATGAAGCAATACTGGGGGGAAAAAAACGGAGCAGAGGGACGGGGGTATCCACAGTGTAATTAGAGGTCGGGGGAACAGGAATAAAGCTGCTTTAAGACAACCCTGCGTATTTCCTTGAAATCCTGGTACTCTCTGCCTCGCAGCCGGAGTCCCCCGCACCTTATTTTGCGTCCCGGGAAAGGTGGGGTCCCCCTCGGCTCCGGCTTTTTACAACCTGGCAACTTTTGTCTCCTGGGTTTTAAACTGCTCCTCTTCCCTGTCTCCCTCCCTGCCCAGCCGCTCGGCGGCGGCGGGGCACCCCCCATCCCCGCGGGGCGAACAAAGCCGGGCAGCCCGGCGGGCACTTACCTGGGCTTGCAGGCAGAGGACGAACAAGTGCATTAACCTGGGAGGGGGAAAAGCGGGAGAGGTGTGAGCCAGGGGGGCTGCGGGCGCGGGGCGGGAGGGCTGCGGCTGCCGGTACTCACACGTAGCTGAAGAGCGAAGAGCAAGGGTCCATCGCGGCGCCGATGCGGGGCCGGGGGCCCGGGGCCCGGCGGCGGCGGGGAGCGCCCGGGGGGCGCTGCGCTGTCTCAGCTCCTCGGTTCCTCTCGCCCTGCCGGCACGTCCTCGCCCCAAAGAAAGGAGGGCACAAGCGGCTACAGAGGGGAAAGGCCCGGCGGCCCCACCGCCCGGCCAGCCCCCGGGGCGCTCGGCCGGCGGCCCCTGCCGCGGGGAGCCCCCCGCCCCGCTCCGCGGCCCCGCTGCCTCCGCGGGAGGCGAAGCCGACCCTCAGCCCGACGGCGGGGGCGGGCGCGGCCGGGGGGCGGCAGCCGCCACGGGGGAAGCCCGGCCGGACCCCGGCTCCCCTCCCGGTCCCGGCGGTACCTGCCGAAGCGGAGCGAGCGGCGGGCCAGGTGTCGCCGGGGCTTGGGGCTGCCGCTAAGGACCGGGCTCCGCGGCCAGTGGTCGGCGGACTCCCTCCCCAGCCCGTGCCTCAGTTTCCCCATCCGTAAAACGGGGTTTAAGGGCTCGGAGGGTGGGTCGGGGACGCGGTTCCCCCCGCTGGGGGTTCGCCGCTTCGCGGGCGCGTTGTGGATTGGGAGCGGGCGGGCGAGCCCTCCCGGGACGTGCCAGACATTAAAAGGATTACCGGAGGAGGGGGATGGAGGGGGCCGGAGTTTCGAGAAGGAGTGAGGTTGAGCAAATTCCGCAACCGGGGTGGGGAGCGGGACACCCCCGATTTCTTCGCGAGCATCCCCGCCGGGCGCTTACCTTGCAGAGCGGGCGGGCGCCCTCAGGGCCGGCGCTGCGGGGCCATGGGGCCGGGCGGCGGCGGGACGGGGCTCAGCCCCGCAGCCCGGGCAGGGCCGCCGAGGGCTGCATTGTTCCGGCGAGCCCCGGCCCTCCCGGCCCCGCCACCTGTTGCGCACCGGGGCGGGGGCTGCGGCGGGGCTGCGGCGGGCGGCCCCCGGGGCCGGTACCTGGCCGGGGCCGGGGCCGGCGCCGCCTGCTCGGCGCTGAGTGACAGCTGCTAATTTGCCGGCCGTGCCCCGCTGCCGGTCCCCGCGCTCCCCGCGCCCTCCTTTATCTTATCAGAGCCCATAATTACAATTGCTATTTTGCTTCCTCGAATCAGCAATCAGCGCTATCTGCCGCCGCTGGAGAGGCAGCTCCTGTCAGCCACCCCTGAGTGACAGCGCGGCGGCTGCCCCGCCGCACAAGCACACCCACACTCGCACACGGGCGTGCACGGCCCGCCCGCACACACACACACACAGCCCCGCACACACACAGCCCCGCACACGCCTCTGCAGCCCTCCTGCACACGCACAGCCTGCACACAGTCCCCGTCACACACACAGCTGGCACACGCATGCAGCCTTTCCCGTGGGGTCCCCTCCTTCTCACTCGCACCCCTCACACACTCTGCACCCCCCAGCACAGCTATCTACGCTTTGCTTTGCTTACCCCACCCGCAAATACAACCCTCTGCTTGACACACAATCACAGCAGCTGCAGCCACAGGACAGGTCTCTCTCTCACATGCACGCTGACACCCAGCCTGCGCACTTTCCCCCTTGCTCAGGCACCCAACAACCCTAGACACAAGTGCACCAACATCTCTCCCCACCACACAATGTGTCACCCCAAAACTCTGCCTACTGTCACTTCTGGGGATGGATCTCCCAGGGTTCTCACCTGATCTTGCTCAGCATCCTCACTGCTGAGGAGTGCTGCAGGCAGGCAGGGGAGCCTGGGCACTGCCCCATCACTGGGCTGACCCCACAGGGCCCAAGGAGAAAACAGTCTCTGCATCAGTATTAACAAACCCAGTACAGCACAGGATGAGCAACTGCCTTGTGCTGGCCAAAATTACCCCAAAATTTGGTTCATTGTTCATTTTCCTTCCCTTTTTTTTGGTGCAAAAAGATGTTTCTAAGAGGGTTTCCAATGTTTAGGAAGAAATCTTGGGCCAAGCCCAAGCATTTAACTGGAAGCGTTTAGGAGGACCAGGAGCAAGCAGGACAGGCACTGAAGGTGCTTGGCAGAAGCAGGAGCTGGTTTCCAAGGGCACGACACATTCACACACTCAGCTCAGCAGTACAGCACATGGTCAGGGGAAAAACCTTCCAGGCTGAGCTGTGTGAACAGCTGATGTACCACAGCACAGGTGAGGTGGTTCCTCCTATTCACCTCTCTGCACTGCCTGAGGAAATCCAGGCAAAACAAGAGCAGGAAACACTAGACTCCTGATGCTCTAAATTCAGTCAATCCATACTTTTTTCATATATTAAAAAATCAAGGAATTCAATCTATTTCCCAGATGTTGCTCTCCTTCACCAGTGGCCACCTCTACTTTATCCCTGGTGGGCACGGGACCAGGCAGGCACATGTTACCATGCACACCACAGTCTACTCAATAGCACCATTTCCAGAACAGCCCAGACTGCCTTAAATTGGGAGATTTATGATCTGTACGGGGTCAGAGGCAGCTGCAAGCTGACAGTCCCGTGTGCCCCCTGCCCTCAGCAAACAGGCTCAAGTGCCAGTCATGGCTGTAAAATCAAGCCCGTGTGGGATCACGCAGGGGTGGCCACACTTTGCCTGACAGGGGATGACAGACGACGCTCCTGTCAGCCATCCCCAGGCCTGCAGCCAAAGCCTTCACAGCCCCCATCCCACCCCACCTTTGGGAAGGGACAAGGAATGAGCAGGTCGGTGACAGCAGCCAGGGACAGGCAACACCACGGCTGCTGGGCTCACCCCACCCCTGCTGCTGCTGCCTTGGATCATGGCCACAGTCTGCTCCTTGCAGGGAAGATGGGGGCCTGCACAGAGGCATTTGCCTTCTTCCCTTGGTGCTTCCCAGCCCACCTGTGTTTGCATCAAGAGTGACACCCCCACCCCCTTTTGTTTTTAAGTAAAAAACCTTTATGGATAGGCTCTCGCCCATGCCAGGCAGAACAAGGAAATTCTGCCTGCCTGTCAGCTCCTTCACAGGCCATCTGAGATAAGCCCCCTGGTCCACAGGGTGAGGGTCCCCTCCATCCGCTGGCACAGAGGTTAAGTGGCTTGTCTGGCTCTCCTGGGGAGAAGAGAAACTCCAGCCCTGTGCTCCTGAGACCAGCTGGGCCTCAGGACAAACTGCTATGAAGATGGTGGAAGAAAGCCCCTTGTGGCAGAAAGACCTGGGGACCTGCTGTGCCCCCAGCACACCAAGCAGCCACTAGGCTGTGATCCCTGGAAGAGGCTTACCAGCATGGTCCCATCAGATCTTGTCCTGCTGCCCCACTGCCCCATTGCCCTGGTCTGCAAAACTAGGACCATGTTTAGACTGGTCAGATACAGAAGGGTTTTCCTTCAGAGAAGAGCTTATGTTCATGTTCATCAGGGATGTTAAACACTGCAGATGAAGCATTAGCAGCAGAGATGTGAGCTGCAGCCCTCCCATTCCCTTTCCCACAAAGCTGAGGGTACCAAGGGGCAGCTACAGGGCTACAAAAGCAAGAAGCAGGAGCTGAGAGAAGAACCAGGACATGGAGGCATCAGTCCCAGCCTGGCTGGGGTCCAGGCTTGGTCTCAAACTTCGACCTCCTTCATCCCACACAGAACCTCCTGGCAGCTGGGAAGTGAGGAGGCAGCTCCTGGAGCAGCCTAGACTGAGATAAGACAGCAAGCAGGTCAGGAGAGGATTTGAGATGGAAGGAGCAGCAGGTGAGGGACTGTGACTCTGGGAGGGGTCTGTGCCTCTCTGTACAGCAGGGACTGGAGAGAGCACAGCAGGTGCTGAAGAAAGCTCTTCCCATTCCCCTTGTGATGCTCAGCACGGCACCCCCACAACCCAGGGCCACCCCAGCACCATCCCTTCTCTCTCCCAGGATCTCCCTTAGCACATCTGCAGGACAGAGCCAGATTCCATCTCCAACTTCCTGCCTGCTTCTTTATCATTCCTGTCTAGCCCAGCTCTAGCCAGAAATGGTGCACACACCCCCCTTTCCTCGTGCAGGATGAGAAAGAGTGGTGCCAGCTCCTGCTCCCCACAAGAGATCAAAGCCAGCAAGGAGCATCAGCCTGAAACCTCTCCACTAGCACCCCTTCTTTCAGAAAGGCAGAGACAAGAAAAACAATACCAACCACAGCTTTAGGGGCAAGCAGTCCAAACTGGGCTGAATGGAGACAAGGGCTGCTAGCAAACTGGGAGTTAATATCATAAGAGGAGTCTAGGAGAATTTGGAGTGAGGGGATGCCAGCAAAACACCCACAGCAGTTTTGCCTTGAATACTTCTTTCAGGGGGAACTACCAGTGGATAGTTTCAGGTGAAACTATCAGGTGGAGAAGCAACCTGGACGCTGCTGTCCCTCACAGAGAGAGGCCAACAGGCAGCGTTCCCTGCTCCTGCCAGGCAGGGACACAGACAGGACCACAGCGCTAATCCCGACCGATGGAAGAGAGCAGTACCTGCAGCAGCACACGGCAACACCGAGCCGGCCAGAGGACGAGGAGAGCTCTCTCTGCAGGTGCAGAGGGCTCAGACAGTCGGCAGAGCAGTTGCCTGGGGGACTGTGAAAGGTGACAGACAATGTAGGCAGTAGGGTTGAGGGTTAGCCAAAGGCTGGGGCTCACAAAGGTGGGGACACTGAAGTGCAGGAAGCACTGCCCAATCTCTGAGCGTCTCTCTCCGCTCCAACATCATATGAAGAAGAGCCAAAATGCACAAAACCCAGAATCCTGTAATGTTTTACAGCCATGCCTGGAGGATACTTGGCCATAAACTAACTTTTTCCACCCCAAAATAAAGACATGGAGGTTTTCCAGCAAAGCCAGAGGGATACTAGCCCACTCCACCCTCACCCTTCCCAGCCCGTGGCCCAGTGCCCCCAGCCCTGCCTGCTGATCCTTCACTGCGGCTTTAATGGGGCGTTTCAGAGGCAACAGCAGCTCCTCCATGGCTGAGCAGCACGGAGCAGCCTGGGGCAATCCCACCGCTCACCATTAACCTGCCCCCACCCCCAAAGGGAAGGAACTTGGCGAAACCCCATTGGGATGTGTTACATGGGAATGACCTTGTCTTCACTACCCACAGCACCAAGGCAGCCCCAGGGCAAACGAGGAGCGGGGA